TTTATTTCAGGTCAAACCAAGGTTTCTCCTTTTAATGTTTGATGTACATTTTCTTTATCTTCTTATCACTTATGATAACTGTTATGTGTAATGTTAGATGATGTACCTACCTTCCCCTTTAAGGTCTATGGTTTTGTTGTATTCTATTGACTGTTCATTTCATTTTAAACAAGGTCCCAGTTAGGGTGGCTAGAGGGCTGTTGTTTGAACTTTTGGGACAATCAGTTGGTGATCCCTTTGTGGATGAGGATGATGTTCCTGTTGTAATCAGGTCCTGGCAAGCACCAAAATTCCTCATAACTGCAATGCACATAAAAGGGCATGTCTCAAGCATAAATGTGTTGGGTATTACAGAAGTTCAGGTTGCTCATTCTTGCCAATTCTTTATATCTAGCACACACAATTTGCTAATACATTTGTTATGATTCAATATGTAATTATGTATGCAAGTTTACAATTTGATTTGATTGCTGGTTACTCCTGATAGGAGCTTCTTGCTGCTGGAGGTTATAATACACCAAGAACAGTGCATGTAGTCATAGCACATCTAGCTTGCCGTCTAACTCGGTGGGATGATAGGTAATTGAACTTTTAACTTTCATCTATAATTCAGCTATGTAATTCTCCTAGATTCCTGTGAATGTGTGATTGGTGCCAGTGCCACTTCGTGTTTGTTGTTTCTGATCTTGCTCTGAGAAAGGTATATTGACTTAAGTTATCACATATCCAGACATTAAACAAGGCCTTCTTATGTTAAATCAACTCTTGCTTATAGTGAACACATTGAAGAGATCATCAATGATATATATTATATTCACCTAGAGATGAGAGCCGCTCCAATATGAGGAGTGGACACTGTAGTGTAGCTTCATAGTTCGTTGTTTCAGCAACCACGTCAGTGTTATTTGTTGTTCCCTTTTCTTGGAAAGCAGTCTTCAACTGAACCACATAAGTTACATAAAAATACATTACAGCTTGCTTTTGTTGAGTGAGAACCATGACTGCACCCTTAGCATTTTGTTTCTTTTCCCTGATCAATCAATCTAGTTCCAAATAATCAATTCTCAAAAGGTGCATTGTAAAACAACCCTATCTATGATTCAAGCCACAAATTTAACACAAGTATTTTGTGCCTCATATTCAAGCACTGCTGTGTTAACCTGCCCCTTGTAGTCACTTATTATCAGATGACCATCTCAAAGATTTTACTGAATCTGCTAACGTAATATGCAGAAAGATTTCCTTTCTTTCAATTTTATTGTTGTCCTTAGATTTACAATCTCAAAATTGTACTGCATCTAATATGAAAATGGCTTGCTACTAGAATCTGGTCAAGTGGAAGCATTTATCAGTTCCATAACATACATAATGCAAACCATGGATGCAAAATTATGCAAACCATGGATGCAAAATTATGCAGCCTCTTTACTTATAACCCCAACTGTAAATGCAGAATTTAAAATTTGCAGCCCCTGTACGTATGGATTCCCTTCAATGTTTTTAAAATTTGTTTCGTAAGTCCATATTTGGTGTAGCAGATGAGATTGAATTGAAGTTTATGAATAGGTACTTTCTTTGGAAAGTTGAAATGTTCTTTGGGAGTGATTCCATTATTTATCTGCTATGATAATGGCTGATAGCTCTCTCAAAATAGGAGAAACCAAGAAGATATGCATCTTTTCGGTATTATTTTGAACCAAGAAATTCGAAGATTATCAAGGCAGGTATGCTATTTCCCCTAGAATGACATCCCATCAACGTGGGAGACCTATTATATCTACATCAGCTTAAAATTAAGATTTGCATGACAGTTGGGCAATTTTCTATAACTTCAATTTAACTAAACCCACAGTCAACAAAGCCTTCTGTTCATATTATTGGCTTAGAAATTCTATGGCTTAGAAAACAATTGTCTTTGATTCCCAACAATCAACAAAGGGTTTTCTTCCTATTAAATCATTATGTTGTCCAGCTGAGATATTTATAAATTTTGGACTTATCAGAGTAAAATGGTCACTCCATGCAAGGGAGGAGATTGTTTTTGAGCTTCTGAAACATTTGAGGGGGAATGTGACAAGAAACTTGCTGGAGGAAATAAGAAAGAGCACAAGGGAAATGATAGAGGAGCAAGAAGTAGTTCGTGGCCGCTTGTTTACAATCCAAGATGTTATGCAGAGCACTGTTCGTGCATGGTTACAGGTTTGTTCCTTAAACCAAATGAAATAAAACACTGCAGACTTTGGCCCCAAAAAAGAAGGAAAAAAAAAACTTACAGAGATCTTCCTTAAGTGCATTAAATAAACTCTAAAATCTTCTTTCATAATTATCGTTACTACAGGACAGAAGCCTTCGAGTAACTCATAATCTGACTGTTTTTGGGGGTTGTGGCCTTGTTCTGTCTATCATAATTGGACTGTTTGGAATCAACATTGATGGGATTCCTGGAGCAGATAATACGCCATACGCATTTGGCCTGTTTGCAGCCATCCTCTTCTTGATAGGAATAGTGCTGATCGGTGTCGGGCTGCTCTATCTCGGTATTAAACGGCCCGTCACTGAAGAGCAGGTTGAAGTGAGGAAGTTGGAATTGCAGGAGCTGGTTAAAATGTTTCAGCACGAGGCAGAGACTCATGCCCAAGTTCGTAAAAACATTTCTCGAAGTAATTTGCCTCCAACCACTGGAGACACATTCGCTGACGCTGATTATGTTCTCATCCAGTGAAGACAATATGATTATGAAAGTAAACTTTTCTTTTAACCCAAAATTGTAGTTCAACTACGTTTATTTATAACTGAACGAGGAAAAGTTTCACCACAACATTATCAGTTTTTCCTATCTCTAGAGTTTTTCATAATGGGGTTGAATTTTGCAGAACCAGTATGCATAATCTCCATAAGAGCAGATTCTTCCTTTATTCCAACAGAATCTGTCAGTACTTCCTTCAATCTAGATGACAAAACTTCGGCAGAAATATACCTCAAACCACAACCCTCTGCATTAATATCATGTGCCAGTGGTGAAATGTTCGGTTCTCCACAAGCTTTATGATGAAACTCACATAAATTTGGATATAAATCTCCACAGCTTTCAAGTTAGCACATCTAAAAATATGCATCCTCTTAAGTGGAAGATTTTGGACCTTGATTCTTTCAAGTTCGTGACATGCAAGTATGCAGAGATTCTCCCAGAACGGAAGTTCGAAAATAAGTTGATGAAATGTTCCATCAGTGAACAAGTAATCAAACAACACCAAGGTTTTCAAACCGTAACAACAATCCCCCACTTTGATCATAAGGGATTGTCTGGAAGAAGACATGGACGAAGTTTTTCAGACATGGTGCTGCATGTTGAATGAAGTTCAGATTTTTGTAGTTTTCGAAGTACTGTGCCATCACATGCTGCAACAATTCAGTGTCTGATTTTTTGATGTAATTTAACCTTTGGTTAGGTATCTTTTTGTTAACCTTCTATCAGTATAGACACTTGAGTAGGGGGCTAAAATTAAGCTACTTGTAGTTTGGTAAACTACTCTTCCCCTTTCCCGAAAGCTAGTGTTTATTTTGCATAAAAGGAGAAATCAATGATAATTTCTGTGTTCTGCTCATTTTTCTCTCTATTTTTTTTCTCTCCATTTTTCCTTTGAGCAAAAATGTTACATGGTATCAGAGCCTCCTCTGATCCTTGAGAGGCTGTGAGGGAGTGAAATTGAGAGTGAGTGACACCCAAACAGAACCCAAACACCTTGAACCCCAAAAATGAAATCTGGTTCTAGTTTCATAGCAAAAACACCAGTTTTCAATGGTCATAACTACCCAGTTTGGTCAAGCAAAATGAAGGCTTATCTAAGGGCCTTCAACCTTTGGGAAGTGGTGGAAACCGACTAGCAGCCACCACCTTTAAGGCAGAATCCCACCTTGGCTCAAATAAAGCAACATACTGAAGAAGTTACGAAAAGGTATAAAGCCTTGACTTGTATTCATTCGGTAGTAACTTATGAGATTTTCGACAAAATTATGCGCTGTGAAATTGCCAAAGAAGCCTGGGACTTGTTGAAGGTAGAGTTTCAGGGTGACAACAAGGGAATTCAGATGCAAGTTTTGAATATGAAAAGGGAATTTGTTGTTTTGAGGATGAATGAGTCTAAAACTATCAAAGAGTTTTCATATAGAATAATGAAGATTGTGAATCGAATCAGATTGCTGGGTGATGAAGAACTCTCTGATAAGAGGGTTGTTGAAAAGGTGTTGGTCAGTTTGCCAGAAAAATTTGAGCACAAGATTTCCTCTTTGGAAGACTCCAAGGATCTTTCCAAAATTCCCTTAACTGAACTTATCAACTCTTTACAAGCTGTTGAACAGAGAAAAGCCTTAAGGTCCGAAAGCAATGTGGAAGGTGCTTTCTTGGCTATCGAAAAGGGTAAAAGCCAACAAAAGGAAGGAGCAAAGAAGCAATTTTTTGATAAGAAATGGAAAGAAAAGAAGAAGTTTCAAAGAGATTTCGAGGGCGATAGATGCAAGGGTAAAAAGGAGTCATTTCCTCCTTGTATTCACTGCAAAAAGACAACTCACACAGAAAATTTTTGCTGGTTCAAGCCTGGTGTTCAGTGCAGGTCTTGTAAGCAATTCGGTCATGTTGAAAAGGTCTGCAAATCAAAAGCAGACTCTATAGAACAAGCTCAAATTGCAAAGAAAGTTGATCAACAGGAGGAGAAGTTGTTTGTGGCCACTAAAGTGGAAGCTTGCTGTGCTATGAATCTCAGTTGTAATGTTTGGTTGATACATAGTGGATGTACTCACCATATGACTCCAAATGAGAGCTGCTTCAAAAGCCTTGACAAGAGTTTTACCTCTAAAGTCAGATTGGGTAATGGAGAGCTAGTAGAAGTCAAAGGAATGGGAGTAGCAACTGTTGATACACCAATAGGTATCAAGCTTATTTATGATGTTCTATTTGTTCCTGAGATTAGCTACAGCCTTATTAGTGTTGCTCAGCTTGTTGACAACAAATACTCTTTGCACTTTCATGACAAGCTATGTGATGTATTTGATGAATTTGGAAATTTGTTGTTATCTGTTAAAATGCTTGATAGGAGTTTTCCTATTAAATGGAAAGAAACTCAGATAAAGGCTTGCGTGAGTACTGTTGATAATTCTTGTGTCTGGCATAAGAGGTTTGGTCACTCTAGTTATCAATCTTTGCTATTGATGCAAAAAAAGAGCATGGTTTCTGGTATGCCTCTTGTTCATGTTGATGAACATGTTTGTAAGGTGTGTCAGCTTGGTAAGCAATCACAATTGCCTTTTCCATCTAGTCAAGCTCATAAAGCTTCTATGAAGTTGCAGCTAGTTCACACTGACATTTGTGGTCCTATGAAGATTGCTTCTTTAAGTGGAAATAGATATTTCCTGATTTTTATTGATGACTTCAGCAAATTTTTTTGGGTGTATTTTCTGAAACATAAATATGAGGTATTTGATGTTTTCATCAAGTTCAAAGCCTCGGTTGAAAATGAGTGTGGTTTGAATATTAAAACACTTAGATCTGATGATGCAGCTGAGTATACTTCTCATAGATTCCAACAGTTTTTGCAGCAACATGGAATTCATCATCAGCTCACAATTCCTTACACACCTCAACAAAATGGTGTGAGTGAAAGGAAAAACAGATCTATTTTGAATATGGCTAGGTGTTTGCTATTTGAGAAGAACTTGCCCAAGAATTTTTGGGCTGAAGCAGTTTACACTGCTGTGCATTTGCAGAACCGATTGCCAACAAAAGCTATTGAAGGTAAACTCCTTTTGTAGCTTGGTTAAGGAACAAACCTGCTGTAGATCATTTGAAAGTTTTTGGTTGCATTTGCTATGTATTTATACCAGATGAAAAGAGAGGCAAGTTGGATGAAAGGGCAAATACTTGTGTTTTTATTGGTTATAGCCTACAATCTAAAGGTTATAGAGTTTTCAACCTTAAGACTCAAAAGATTGAAGTTTGTAGAAGTGTAGCGTTTGATGAAAGTGCAGCATGGGACTGGGAAAAATCCCAAGTTACAAACTTAGATTAGCTTGCTAAATTGAATGACAAACCAGAACTTGAAGCAGATTTTGATGATGCAGCTAATGAATCAGATTTAATTGATGATGCACCAATGAGAGGAACTAGAACCTTGGAAGACATTTATAGTAGATGCAATTTGTCTACTGTTGAGCCCTCAAATTATTATGAGGCTGCAAATTCGGATGCATGGAGAGCAGCAATAAAGGAGGAGCTCAAAATGATTGAAAAAAATGACACCTGGACTTTGGTTGACAGACCAAAAAATAAAAACATCATAGGTGTTAAATGGGTATATAGGGTCAAGATGAATTCTAATGGCACCATCAACAAATATAAGGCAAGATTGGTGGTGAAAGGTTACTCTCAATTGGCTGGAATTGATTTTACTGAGACCTTTGCACCTGTGGCAAGACATGAAACTATCAGACTGTTGTTGGCTCTTGCAGCACACAAAGGCTGGAATGTCTTCCATCTTGATGTCAAATCAGCATTTTTAAATGGCAAATTAGAAGAAGAAATATTTGTTGAGCAGCTAGAAGGGTTTGTGCAAGATGGTGCAGAGAATAAAGTTTATTTGCTTAAAAAGGCCTTGTACGAGCTAAAACAAACTCCTAGAGCTTGGAACTGCAAAATTGATGATCACTTGCTGAGTCTTGGGTTTGAGAAGAGTCTAAGTGAGGCTACTCTTTATGTGAAAAAGAAGAATGGAGTACTTGTTATAGTCTCCATATATGTTGATGATTTGCTGGTCACAGGAAATGATGAAGTTGCTTTGAATCAGTTCAAGATTGACATGCTGCAAATTTTTGACATGAATGATCTGGGCAAAATGACGTATTTTCTTGGTATGGAGATTGATCAGTCTAGCAAAGGCATTTTTATTTGCCAAAGAAATTTTACGGGTGAGATTTTGAGCAAATTTGCTATGTCAAACTGCAGGCCAGTTAGTACTCCTTCTGTGTCAGGAGTTAAATACAAAGCCATTGATGGTTCAACAAATGTTGATGAAGGGGTATATAGAAGTATGATTGGCAGCCTTCTATATTTATCTGCTACCAGACCTGATATAATGCATGCTGTTAGTTTGCTTTCAAGGTTTATGCATTCACCTACTGAAGTTCATCTCAAGGGTGTTAAAAGAATATTCAGATATTTGAAGGCAACTGCTGGTTTTGGTGTTTTCTATCCTAGAGCTGAGAAAATTAAGTTACTTGGCTTTTGTGACAGTGATTGGGCAAGGTCTGAGGATGATATGAAAAGCACCACTGGTTTTTGTTTCACTCTCGGATCAGGTGTTATAAGCTGGTGTTCTCAAAAGCAAGATGCACTTGCACATTCCACTGTGGAAACTGAATATATAACTGCTGCAACTGTTGTGGATCAGGCTATTTGGTTAAGGAAATTGTTGGTTGATGTTCATCATGCTCAATCCAATCCTACTGAAATGTTGTGTGATAGCAAAGCTGCAGTTGCTACTGCTAAAAATCCAGTCTTTCATGGAAAGACAAAACATTTTAAATTGAAGTATCATATTGTTAGAGTTACAGAAAATGATGGTGATATTGTTATGGTGCACTGTTCCTCTGAAGAAAATGTTGCTGATATTTTCACTAAGGGCTTACAAAAGATCAGATTTGAAGCTCTTAGAAACAAGCTTGGCGTTTGCAGCTTGGATGCCAAGGAGGAGTGTTGAATGAAGATTTTTGTAGTTTTCGAAGTACTGTGCCATCACATGCTGCAACAATTCAGTGTCTGATTTTTTGATGTAATTTAACCTTTGGTTAGGTAGCTTTTTGTTAACCTTCTATCAGTATAGACACTTGAGTAGGGGGCTAAAATTAAGCTACTTGTAGTTTGGTAAACTACTCTTCCCCTTTCCCGAAAGCTAGTGTTTATTTTGCATAAAAGGAGAAATCAATTATCATTTCTGTGTTCTGCTCATTTTTCTCTCTGTTTTTTTTTTCTCTCCATTTTTCCTTTGAGCAAAAACGTTACACTGCAAGCTCTATGGTCTCCATGCGGAAGCTATCTGTAAATAATAATTCATGGTAAACCACAGTGTTGATTCTTGAACCTGAAATCTTTTTTCTTCTAAGGTTAGGGCAGCCAAAAAGGTACAATTCCTCAAGCATGGGAGTTGCAGAAGGAGAGAATGGAACTCTGTCTCTCTTACTGAATTATATTGCAAATGTAAAAGTTTTCTCTTGCCAAACACATTTATTCTCTCCCCCATCCTTCCGGTTCCGCCAGTTTTCCGATGGATCTCAATCGGATTCAGATTCAACTCAAATCCACCATAGAAGAAACCCAGAACCGGAGGTGATCTTTTCACTTTGAGTAATGACCGGCACTCTCACCGTATCTCCTTCTTCACTTATTCTCCACCTCGGCAGGGAATGAGAATGGCGGTGAGTGTTTGGTTGAGGAAGAAGAAGAAGAGGAGAGGGAAGGCTAGAGTGAGCGGGGTTGAGAACAAGGTGATTGGGTGTGGCTGAAGAAAGGGCTCAAGGGAGAGGAATTGGAATGGACGGGAAAAGAAAAAGGAAAAAAAAAAAAAATGCTAGTTTAGTGTGTTGAATTCAATTCATCATCGACATCAAGCCTTCAAAAGAGAAGATTCTGGACAAAAAAAAAAAGAACCAAACTCAGAAGACAAGAATAAAGATTTTGGGTATTTTCCATTCTGAAGAATTGGGAGGAGATTTGAAATAAGCAGGTATTGATTGAGAAGGATATCAACTATTGACTGGCTTTTGTTAAAGCAGATGACCTTTGGTGAATTCAACAAGCTTGTAATTCTGAATTTGTCAAGCTGCAGTTTGCAGTTTTTCATTTGCAAAAAGCAGAACTTATCCCTGAGTGACCAAATTACCTCTCTTAAAATTTACTGTGTTATATATTTCTGTTGGTTATGTTATTTTTTAGGACAAATCAAAAGTGGATCACACCCAATGTCATGCGCTTTATTTCAGCAATGGACTTGTTCATCTATTCCTTTTACTATTCATTTTATATAATTATTTGCAATTCAATTACACTACACAGACTGGTTTTTGATCCATACATCCCCAAAAGCTAGGAAAGCTCACCTTACTGGACCTATACCTTGTGTATATGTCATTCTCAATTGCAGATATGACATCTAGTTTAAATTGAAAGGAAGCAAAGACCGATAACAGATATATTGCGGCTATGAAAATCTTCGTAGCTAGAATTTCAGCAGAATCAAATTGGAAAAACTCACAGACGGAGTGTTTAATTGAAAGGAGATAAGGGCTGGTCCAAAAGAAAATTGTACATAGTAAAATTTTCGAAAGTTTAAAATCTA